AAGATATTACATATCTGTTCTGGAGAGTAGTATTTCTTTTTGCGGGAGAAGAGTAGTAAAAGATAATGGCTGCCCATTGTTATTTATCCAGAATGGCACTCTTCTATTTGGCCTCCAAAAGTGTGCAGCAATCATGTATATCTCCAAAAGTGGGTTCACAAGGCGGAGCCATTGCTTTGATCCGTATGTGGTTATTACTCACTCCGACGGAGGTCAGGGAGCGTTTGGTTACTGGACCTATCCGATGGGAGATGGTTGCACGGGATATCTTTAGCCGGTTTGGATGGCGGTCATGTAATAGGATAGGCAATTAGTTTTCCTATCTTTCTCTTGCCGGCCGGCGGTGGCTTTTGTTTTCCTTCTTTAGCGCTCTGTGAGCAACTTTGTTTGAGAATTTTAGACTGGTGTTAAACCTCTTTGCTTATTTAATAAAGGTGGCCGTATGCATCTTTTCGATGCAGAGGCCGGAGAAGTCCCCCTTTTCTAAAAAAATGTAAAAAAAAATTGGGCAGCGATTCCTTGATCTTATTATTGCAATTACCAATTGTGTAAAGTTTAGTCATAAGAACAAGGAATCATATGGGGCAAACAAAATAGACCAAGGAGTCTTTTTCATGTTAAATGATGATCAACACAAACACATGTTCTTAGGGTGTGAACTATTTACGAACAGGCAAATAGGTCTTTCTTGATAATTTTGTGAAAAGTTGGATGCATTGCCAATTTGCGTATCCCCATTGCCATAATGATGATGTTAATTCAAGTTTATTTTCTAGAAATTATTAGGGAGTAAGACAAATAATAATCCAATGCTTACTATTTCTTTTATTAGATTATACACGTACTTGGTACGTGCCTTTTACTAGTTTGTATATAGTGTTGATTTTGTTTCTTCTGCCAACAATCTCATAACCTTTTACACGAGCATAACATTTATGATATTTGTTGTCAAAAAAATTCAGAATATTTTCTGCCAACACGCTTCCTTTAGCGAACCAATCTGTGGTTGGATGGTTAGGAGGACAATGATATACCCAGCCCATCAGAGTTCAAATCCTAGACTTGACATTGGTGCTCGCGTTTTTCTGAATTTATTCCGGGTCTTTCGGCGACGTGCGTTCAGTGAAAGGAGACGTTCCCGTCGACTATGAATGCGTCTATAGAGATTTCGTCAATCTCAAGATGATGAGCCGGCTCAGTCTCTCGAAGGTGCCCATAGCCGTAGGTGTGCGTTCATAGAGGTGAGTGGAAGGAGACATTCCCGTCGACTACGAAGGCGTCTATAGAGATTTCGTCAATCTCAAGATGATGAGCCGGCTCAGGCTCAATCTCTTGGAGATGCTCATAGCAGTAGAGTGTGCATTCATAAAGGTGAGTGTATGCTTGTGTATGTGAGCGGCTTCGATTTTTATCTGTATTAAAATAAAACCTGCTTCCTTTGGACACACCGCTATTAATTTGTTCTGCAGCAGTGTTAGGTATTCTTTTGTCACTTTTGCTTCGGTAGACCTTCCCCTAAACACAAAGATGGATTAGATTAGTCTATACCTCTTCATAATAAAAGACATGATGGTCATATTTTGTTGTGTATGTTTTTCTTTTTAGAATATCCATTTGATGTATACGTATAGGCCGTACACTATCGCAAAGTGTGCCAAGAGTCGAGACAGGAACTTCTGATTCAAAATGCGACGCCATAACCAACTTGCCACCATCACTTAACGTGGTTGCAGGTGTCTTTCTTGTTGTTTTTTTCTATCCGCTTTTCTTTTTTCAATTTTCTTCTTTCCTTCTTTCTTTTTTCTTGCTCTTTTTTTTCTCGTTTTTAACGGTTTTGTCCCAGATTTATTTTCTTTCTCTATTTCTTATTTTTCGTTTTCCTTTCTTGTTTGTTCATTTTTTATTTTCCCTTTTCTCTTGCAATGTGCAAACTTTTTCCAATTTCGTTTTTATGAAAGAATGGACTTTTAGCAAAATTTGCGAACATTTTTTCTAACTTGGTGAACATTTTCCTAAATCGATAACTTTTTTAAATTCATAAAAAATATTGATGAACGTTTTTTTAAAATAGATGTTCCTTTTTTCTCAAAATTGATGAAGTTTTTTCAAAATGAATGCATATTTTCAAAGTAGATGAATTTGTTTTGCCAAAATTGATGGACTTTTTTCAAAATCGATCATGCAAGGACATGAAAAAAACTGAAACCATTTAAGAGATGTTGAGAAATGGGCTACTCCCAAATGGACTCTTCTGACCTAACCGAACAGTCTCCATCGAACATAGTATTTTTGGAAATCTCAAGACTGACCCAAACTTTCGTAAGCAGGTAGGTGTGCCCATGGTAGTCATTTACGCCAGGTTTGAATGATTTCCTACACCATATGCAAGTTGCGACACGTCCCGCCATTTATCGACTATTTTTTACCAAGAAAACTCCATAAAATACAAAATTTGTCAAAAAGCAAAGCAACTTGGCATGGTGCCATAACTTGGTCATACAACCCATTGAAAAAAATAGGGTCATTTCAAGGATGTCGAAAAACAACATGCTATGAGATGAAGCCTTGTATTTTATGAATATTTGTATTTTAATATTTGTACTTTTTTTTACAATTGTGTCTGTTCAATGTTTGTACAATTTTTTAGAATGCGAATGTTATAATTTATGAACAAAATTTGAATAGGCAAACTTTTTTTGAAATTTTGGAAAAATGAAAATGGAAAAGAACCAAAAACTATCAGCAAAAAAGAGAAAGAAATAGTGGAAAAAGTCCGTTTTGCTACAGTAAGCTGGTTGGTAAAGGATAGTTCTAGTAGTTTATGTTTTTGTAGTTAGACATTTGAGCTTATCGGTTTGTGTACCTAGCGGCGAGCAGTTAGCAGTGAGAGTTACAGGGTTTGACCCGCCCGGAGCGAGCCCCCCTTAGAGGCAAGTGAAGTTGGTGAGCCGTATGATGGGCAACTATCTCCTGCGCAGATGATGGATCCATTTCTGTTGAAGCAGTGGAGTGAAGAGTTGGGTCCCGCCTCACAACGAGCCAGGGTAGCTATCCATAGTACCCGCAGCCTCCCGGACTTCATATTCATCATTTTCTAAAGAAAGGGTAAGGGATCTCTTTTCTGCAACGAAAAAAAATAAGCTCCGCTGATTTGACTCGGCACAAGCGGAAACTCTTCCGGATCTTGTTTATTTGTATTTGCTCATTTTCGATTATGCTTTATTTGTAGATAGCCTTGATGATAGGCTTCGACCTCGACTTCTCCGTTTCTAAGATCCAATGGTGGAATCATTACTCCAAGGCAGGCAAACTTGACCATTTCTAAGTAAGTTCAGCTAGCGTCACCCCGGAAACACCCAGTGCTGACCACACTGAGAGACACGAAAGCGCGCATTGCCATTTCCTTTTTAATGTATTTTCCCTGTTTTCGTGTGCGATAATGGACGGGGCCAGTCGAGGCAACGTACTGTGCATGGCACCTTCTATCTGATTCTACTTCCCGAAGGCGAACCCTATTTGCCACCCGAGGGTGTCAAACCGTCATGGCTTTGTTGAAGCAAAGCGACCGACACGATATGCGTCGGCCCACTTTGAACGAGCAACCGGTTTCAGGAAAATGTTCACTGTGTATAAAAAGTGTTCATCGTGTCTACTAATTTTATTCAACGTGCATTTCAAAAATATTCAGCATATATTTTAAAGAAAGTTTAGTTTGTATTTGAAAAAAAACACCGTATACTAGGAAAATGTTAAGTGCGTATTTTAAATTCACTTTTGGAAAACTGTTCATATTTAAGAAAAGAATATTCTTTTTTTACGATTTTGAAACATTGTTGGCATTTTCAAGAAATTTTGTTCTTATTGTTTTGCAAAAGTATTGAAAAAGAAAAAAAAATCGGATCTGCAGCTCTAAATAGTACTTTAAACGTTAGCGCTGCCTTTAAGTTCTACTCAGTTATTAGGCTGTCTGGTTAGCATTGGTTCCATTCATGGCCAGGTTGTAAGTTCGATACCCGGTGCAAGTGCTTTCATTTTTCGCATTTGTTACGGATACATGTCTCAAAAAAATTTATTAATACAAGTACGATAGACTACCGTATAATTTATGAAATGATTCCTTTATACGCTTTGTGAGACGGGGTCTACCGAAGCATTGCTCTTTTGGTCAGGTTAGCTGGTTAGGGAGTGACGGCCGCTAGTGGAGAGTTATGGGTAATCATGTACAATATTTTTTGAACCGGGCATAATTTTTTTTCATTAATTGAATAACGGAAATACATCATTCAAGTTCAAAGATTTGAAGGGACGGGAAAGGGAAGAGCGAGTTCACGCATCGCCGGAAAACCCATCGCAAGAGCTCGCCTGCGAGACACCTGCTATGGGGCAAAAATCCGACAGACACATATTATCCTCGGCAAACAGAGAGCAGCAAAGTATCAAACCAACGCTCAAAACAAACTGAGCAACTCAGAGCTCACCCAGGAGCAAGGGACCCAAAATAGACAGAGCTCATAAACATCCAGCTATGACCTAACTGGTGTCTTATTTTTCATAATCAGCGTACAACAAAGTTTCATTCAGAAGAAAAAATATCCCTTCCTCAAGCAACTTGGCATTTGCCAAAGCCTGAATGACCTCGCACAACCTAGGCTTTTCCGCTTTGCAGAGCAGCTTCCCTCATCATCATCACCTAACCCCGTTATCGTGGATTCCTGTTGCTTTTCCCTCATTACAAATTGCGCACTGTCCGGCCTGCCACACTCAATCATTCTTAATTACTAGTATCGCTTAGCAGCCATGGCTTTTCCAAGATAGCGGACGCCATTAGCACCACTGAACCAGTTTAGTGTATCCTAGTGCTCCCACTGAATCAGCTAGCATACAACGGTCTTTCTATATAAATACCGGTGCCTCTCACTCTTCTCCTTCACAAGCCACACCGCGACAAGAAGATAGGGCAGGAATTTTAGTAGAAAGAAACTTAGCAGAAATCTGCAGCAATGGCGACCAAGATATACATCGTGTAATCAAGCAATGCTCCGCCTTTGTTCATCCCTTCTTCTTCCGGCTAGCTAGCTCACTGATTCTGATCACTGTATATTTATCTGCAGGTACTACTCGACCTGGGGACACGTCGCGACGCTGGCGGAGGAGATAAAGAAGGGCGCCGACTCCGTCCCCGGCGTGGAGGCCACCATATGGCGGGTGCCGGAGACGCTGCCGGAGGGCGTGCTGGCGAAGATGCACGCGGCGCCGGTGCGCCAGGACCACCCCGTCATCACGGCGGGCCAGCTGGCCGAGGCCGACGGCGTGCTGTTCGGCACCCCGACGCGGTTCGGCATGATGGCGGCGCAGATGAAGGCCTTCTTCGACTCCACCGGCGGCCTCTGGAAGGAGCAGGCCCTCGCCGGCAAGCCCGCGGGCGTCTTCTTCGCGACGGCCACCCAGGGCGGCGGCCAGGAGTCGACCGCGCTCACGGCCGTCACGCAGCTGGCGCACCACGGCATGCTGTTCGTGCCGGTCGGGGGCACGCACGGCGCCGGCATGCTGATCATGGACGAGGTCAAGGGTGGCAGTGCGTACGGGGCCGGCACCTTCGCCGGCGCCGACGGTAGCAGGGTGCCCACTGGCGCCGAGCTCGCTTTGGCGGAGCACCAGGGGAGGTACTTCGCCGGCATCGCTAAGAAGCTCAAGTCCGTCTGAAATCTGGTTTGCTACACCGTAATGCATGCTATGCAGTGCAAAGATGAACTCGTCATGTATATGTGGAGCAGGATTTACACAATTCTGTTTAATAACAATATAATACTCCAAAATTTAAAAAAAAAAATCAAAAAACAATATAATACTCCCTCCAATAGTTGTTTACCTATCAGCTCTGGCTTTGACTTATTAATTCAGGCTTGACCTTTAAATTTTTAGGATAAAAAGAAGAACAAATGCTATTTATAAGATGAAAGCGAAAAAAGGGAATTACAACCAGATTGGGTCGCCCGTTGCATGTCTGACGCAAAAGAGGAACGCACTTGGTTAATGTCCTCCGTGACAAAGTATGCAACCTCAAGCATAAGGGAGAAGTCAATGAAGATACGCACCACAACACATATCTGATTGTTTCACTTTTTCCAAACATACCAGAACACATAGCGGATTGTTTCACTCTCAACAAACATACTGCAACACCTAGGTATTCACATGTCAAAACGATTGTGTGCTAGATGTTCAAATTCCACAATTCCTCGGAGCAACTTCAATGGAGCGACCCAAACGGACGCTGATTTTGTCCGTTTTTTGTCCGTTGGGGTCGCCCGTCCGCCTGTCCGCGTCCGCTTTTTCGTTTGGGTCGGCGGTGCGCCCAACAAAAGCCAGACCCATTTTGTGCATATCCGTGTCGGCATTCAGTCAAACATCTGGTGGGCGAGCTCCTGCGCGACCTCACCCTGCACCCCCGAGCTCACCTCCGCCGCCTCGCCCGCGAGCTCCCGTCCGCAGCTCGCCGGCCCCGTCGCGCGCGCCCCACCTCTGCCCCGCAGTTCGACGCGCCCGCCCCGCAACTCGGTCACACCCCTGCGAGGTCGCCTCTGCCGACGCCCGTGCTCCGGTTGCGCGCTCGCACCAGCACATGCATGCAAGCAGCCGCCCCCCGCGTAGACATCACATGCAGAGCACGAGCAGCTTCATGTCAAGAGGCTCCGTGCACAACTTGATGCCAGCATCCAATGATTGTCTGACTAGCATCCGACGACTATCTGACCTGCATCCGACGAGCTTCCAACCAACAGCCGTGCAGCCTCGCCCCGCGCCCCGCCCCGCAGCTCCCGCACCGCCGTGCCCGCGCCCCGTCGCATGTGCCTCGCCGGCTTTGCAGCAGATCTCGTCCCGGCCGCGCACCGCACACCACCCGCGCAGCGTGCCCCTCCCCGCAGCTCCGGCCCCGTGCCACTCGTGCCCGAGCTCCGCCTGCAGCAGCTCGCCGGGGCTGCAGTAGCTCTTGAAGGAAATATGCCCTAGAGGCAATAACAAAGTTATTATTTATTTCCTTATTCTCATGATAAATGTTTATTATTCATGCTAGAATTGTATTAACCAGGAAACGTAATACATGTGTGAATACATAGACAAACAGACTGTCACTAGTATGCCTCTACTTGAGTAGCTCGTTAATCAAAGATGGTTATGTTTCCTAGCCATTGACATGAGTTGTCATTTGATTAACGAGATCACATCATTAGGAGAATGATGTGATTGACTTGACCCATTTTGTTAGCTTAGCACTCGATCGTTTAGTATGTTGCTATTGCTTTCTTCATGACTTATATATGTTCCTATAACTATGAGATTATGCAACTCCCGTTTACCAGAGAAACATTTTGTGTGCTACCAAACGTCACAACGTAACTGGGTGATTATAAAGGTGCTCCACAGGTGTCTCCGAAGGTACTTGTTGGGTTGGCGTATTTCGAGATTATGATTTGTCACTCTGATTGTCGGAGAGGTATCTCTGGGCCCTCTCGGTAATACGCATCACTTAAGCCTTGCAAGCATTGCAACTAATGAGTTAGTTGGCGGATGATGTATTACAGAACGAGTAAAGAGACTTGCCGGTAACGAGATTGAACTAGGTATTGAGATACCGACGATCGAATCTCGGGCAAGTAACATACCAATGACAAAGGGAACAACGTATGTTGTTATGCGGTCTGACCGATAAAGATCTTCGTAGAATATGTAGGAGCCAATATGAGCATCCAGGTTCTGCTATTGGTTATTGACCGGAGACATGTCTCGGTCATGTCTACATAGTTCTCGAACCCGTAGGGTCCGCACGCTTAACGTTTCGATGACAGTTATATTATGAGTTTATATGTTTTGATGTACCGAAGGTTGTTCGGAGTCCCGGATATGATCACGGACATGACGAGGAGTCTCGAAATGGTCGAGACATGAAGATTGATATATTGGAAGCCTACATTTGGATATCGAAAGTGTTCCAGGTGAAATCGGGATTGTACCGGAGTACCGGAGGGGTTACCGGAACCCCCGGAGGGTTAATGGGCCATAGTGGGCCTTAGTGGAGAAGAGGAGAGGCAGCCATGGCAAGGGTCGCGCGCCCCTCCCCCCTAGTCCGAATAGGACAAGGAGAGGGGCGGCGCCCCCCCTTCCTTCTTCTCCTCCACCTCTTTCCCCTCTTCTCCTAATCCAACAAGGAAAAGGGAGGGAGTCCTACTCCCGGTAGGAGTAGGACTCCTCCTGGCGCGCCCCTCCTGGCCGGCCGCACCTCCCCCCTTGCTCCTTTATATACGGGGGTAGGGGGTACCCTAGAGACACAACAATTGATCGTTTGATCTTTTAGTCGTGTGCGGTGCCCCCCTCCACCATAGTCCACCTCGATAATACTATAGCGGTGCTTAGGCGAAGCCCTGCGTGGGTAGAACATTATCATCGTCACCACACCATCGTGCTGACGAAACTCTCCCTCAACACTCGGCTGGATCGGAGTTCGAGGGACGTCATCGGGCTGAACGTGTGCTGAACTCAGAGGTGCCGTACGTTCGGTACATGATCGGTCGGATCATGAAGACGTACGACTACATCAACCGCGTTGTGCTAACGCTTCCCCTTTTGGTCTACAAGGGTACATGGACAATACTCTCCCCTCTCGTTGCTATGCATCACCATGAACTTGCGTGTGCGTAGGAAACTTTTTTGAAATTACTACGTTCCCCAACAGTGGCATCCGAGCCAGGTTTTATGCGCAGATGTCATATGCACGAGTAGAGCACACGTGAGTTGTGGGTGATATAAGTCATACTGCTTATCAACATGTCATACTTCGGTTCGGCGGTATTGTTGGATGAAGCGGCTCGGACCGACATTACACGTAAGCTTACGCGAGACTGATTCTACTGACGTGCTTTGCACACAGGTGGCTGGCGGGTGTCAGTTGCTCCAACTTTAGTTGAACCGAGTGTGGCTACGCTCGGTCCTTGCGAAGGTTAAAACAACACCAACTTGACAAACAATTGTTGTGGTTTTGATGCGTAGGTAAGAACGGTTCTTGCTAAGCCCAGTAGCAGCCACGTAAAACTTGCAACAACAAAGTAGAGGACGTCTAACTTGTTTTTGCAGGGCATGTTGTGATGTGATATGGTCAAGACATGATGCTAAATTTTATTGTATGAGATGATCATGTTTTGTAACCAAGTTATCAGCAACTGGCAGGAGCCATATGGTTGTCGCTTTATTGTATGCAATGCAATCGCCCTGTAATGCTTTACTTTATCACTAAGCGGTAGCGATAGTCGTAGAAGCATAAGATTGGCGAGACGACAATGATGCTACGATGAAAATCAAGGTGTCGCGCCGGTGATGATGGTGATCATGACGGTGCTTCGGAGATGGAGATCACAAGCACAAGATGATGATGGCCATATCATATCACTTATATTGATTGCATGTGATGTTTATCTTTTATGCATCTTATCTTGCTTTGATTGGCGGTAGCATTATAAGATGATCTCTCACTAAATTTCAAGATAAAAGTGTTCTCCCTGAGTATGCACCGTTGCCAAAGTTCTTCGTGCCCAGACACCACGTGATGATTGGGTGTGATAAGCTCTACGTCCATCTACAACGGGTGCAAGCCAGTTTTGCACACGCAGAATACTCAGGTTAAACTTGACGAGCCTAGCATATGCAGATATGGCCTTGGAACACTGAGACCGAAAGGTCGAGCGTGAATCATATAGTAGATATGATCAACATAGTGATGTTCACCATTGAAAACTACTCCATTTCACGTGATGATCGGTTATGGTTTAGTTGATTTGGATCACGTGATCACTTAGAGGATTAGAGGGATGTCTATCTAAGTGGGAGTTCTTAAGTAATATGATTAATTGAATTTAAATTTATCATGAACTTAGTACCTGATTGTATCTTGCTTGTCTATGTTGATTGTAGATAGATGGCCCGTGTTGTTGTTCCGTTGAATTTTAATGCGTTCCTTGAGAAAGCAAAGTTGAAAGATAATGGTAGCAATTACACGGACTGGGTCCATAACTTGAGGATTATCCTCATTGCTGCACAGAAGAATTACGTCCTGGAAGCACAGCTGGGTGCCAGGCCTGCTGCAGATGCAACTGACGATGTTAAGAACGTCTGGCAAAGCAAAGTTGATGACTACTCGATAGTTCAGTGTGCCATGCTTTACGGCTTAGAACCGGGACTTCAACGACGTTTTGAACATCATGGAGCATATGAGATGTTCCAGGAGTTGAAGTTAATATTTCAAGCAAATGCCCGGATTGAGAGATATGAAGTCTCCAATAAGTTCTACAGCTGCAAGATGGAGGAGAATAGTTCTGTCAGTGAGCATATACTCAAAATGTCTGGGTATAACAATCACTTGATTCAACTGGGAGTTAATCTTCCGGATGATAGTGTCATTGACATAATTCTTCAATCACTGCCACCAAGCTACAAGAGCTTTGTGATGAACTATAACATGCAAGGGATGGATAAGACGATTCCCAAGCTCTTCGCAATGCTAAAGGCTGCGGAGGTAGAAATCAAGAAGGAGCATCAAGTGTTGATGGTCAATAAGACCACCAGTTTCAAGAAAAAGGGCAAAGGGAAGAAGAAGGGGAACTTCAAGAAGAACAGCAAACAAGTTGCTGCTCAATAGAAGAAACCCAAGTCTG